AGCGTAACCGTGCAAATCCGCGGGCTCCGTCGACGGGCTCCGTGGACGAGCACGGGCTCGGGCTTGGGCACGGGCACGGGCACGGGTTCTACGGGTATGGGTATAATCGTTTATTTCGCGTCGACCTTTGCAGGGCACTACGTCAAAATGTCAGACGCGACCCCGCCTGAGAGCGTAGGGAAGATGCACTGGGAACGTTGTAATGGGCTTACAAAGCGTAACAAACTGATGCGAGGTCAAACACACGACGGGCAATAAACACACGGAAAGATAAATGGGCCCTTAAGGTGCACCGTGCTCGCGAGCACCACCACCGCCATCGCCATCGCCATCGCCATCGCCATTGCCATCGCCATCACCATCACCGCCACGATAGCCCCTTTCGTCTTTCCTTCTTCGTTTTAAGTACTCCGTTTTAAGTTCTGTGTTTTAAGTTCTTCGTTTGAAGTTCTTCATGCGTAGTTCTTCGTTCGAAGTTCTTAGTTTTAAGTTCCTTGTTTTAAGTTCTCCGTTCGAAGTTCTCCATTTTAAGTTCTTCATGTGAAGTTCTTCGATCGAAGTTCTCCATTTTAAGTTCTTCGTTTTAAGTTCTTTGTTTTAAGTTCCTTATCTTAAGTTCTTCATATGAAGTTCTTCCTTTTAAGTTTTTTGTTTAAAGTTCTTCGTATGAAATTCTTTGTTTTAATTTCTTCCTTTCAAGTTCTTTGTTTTAAGTTCTTCGTTCGAAAAATTCTCCATTTTAAGTTCTCCATGTGAAGTTCTTCGTTTTAAGTTTTTTGGTCGAAGTTCCTCGTATGAAATTCTTCATTTTAAGTTGTTCGTTTTAAGTTCTCCGTTCGAAGTTCTCCATTTTAAGCTCTCCATATGAAGTTCTTCGTTTTAAGTTTTTTCTTCGAAGTTCTTTGATTTAGGTTTTTTCGTTTTAAGTTCTTTGTTGTTTTGTGTTCATCGCGCGTTTTAAGTTCTTCATGTTAAGTTCTTCATATGGAGTTCTTCGATTTAAGTTCTTCACGTGAAGTTCTTCGTTTGAAGTTCTTCGTCCTCTGTCCTTCGTCCTCCGTAGGACGCGCGAAGTGTTTCGCTTCGCATCCCCTCCCTTTTCATCTGGAGCGAAGATAATAGCGAAGTCGTTAGCGATTATTTACAAGGAAATTCCGGAGCGATATTTATTATCGGCGGGCCCCATCTCGCGAGACCGGCATTTTCGCGGCGCGTATCGCCGGGCCTCTATCGGGCCCTTTTGACCTCGGCCTCGATGGACGGGGGTGAAGTTTTAATTACCGATCTCCGTCGCCTTGCAAGCTTTCTTTGATTTAACCGAGACGGGCCGGAATGCTCGACGTTATGCGAATCGGAGGCCGTGCAATAACCCGAAGACCCTTCCTCTTGAAACCCGAGACCGCTGCAATTTCACCCCGACTACAATGCCCTGATTCTTCTACTTCGCAGCCGAATCCTGGATGTGAGGTAGAGTCCCGATTTTACATCCTTTATATTCTTACGCTCCGCTTGAACCAGGTCGCACGAAACGATTTTTTGCACTCGAATGCCCTCTGTTGTAAAAGTGAAACAAAAATCCGGCAGGATTTCGACTGTATAACAACGAAGAACAAATATTTATTTAGATCTTCGTTGGAACACTTTATTCGATTACGCTGTGTACAAAATGCATTATCACATTTCGTAAACTTCTATTTCTACAAATTGTTTTATATAAAACTAGAACGATAGGGCAAAGTTTCTTTTTTTAGTGTTAAAACCTCCTATGAGACTTAGCAATACGATGCGCGTACTCTTTTTCTATTCGTAAAGAGAGCAAAGTTCGTAGCTCAAAGTAACCTCTGCAGAAGTAATGTGATGGCTACTTCCGACGCTGGCCAGCAGATGGACGCCTTTCCCGCAGTTACCTGATCCGTCATCGATTTGTGTATATACTGTCCTTAGCCGTCCGTATTGTAGTAGTTAACAGGTTTTACTACAGAATGTCCCATAAATGTGTTAACACTAATAAAGGGGTGATTGCTGAGGTTATTTGAAGTGACTTTTCCCTCAGCGAAAATGCAATCCGCGGCTTTGTTTACGAGTTATCGACAAAAAACAGTGACCAATGAGAAGCGAGTTTGGCTGGCGCTAGGCGGCCGAGCCAACGAGCGAACGTAGTCCAGTTCCGCTGATTGGCCCGGCCGCCTCGCGCCAGCTGAGCTGGGATTCGACCGCTCGACCGCTGGCGTCGTTGACTCGGCCGACTCACGCCTGCTGAGCTGGGATTCGACCGCTCGACCGCTGGCGCCGTTGGCCCGGCCGCCTCGCGCCAGCTGAGCTGGGATTCGACCGCTCGACCATTGATCACAGTTTTTCGTTAATAACTCGTAAACAAAGCCGCGGATTGCATTTTCGCTAAGGAAAAAGTTGCTTCAAATAACCTCAGGAATCACCTCTTTCCGGGTGTTAACATAATTATGGGGCACCCTGTATGTTCTATGTGAATTTTCAGTCTTTAGGATCCTTATAGGGCTAACGAGAGTGGTAAAAATATAAATCTTATGTAGAAAACAACACCATAATCCTTCCGATATCCCCGCGTCTAAGGCAGGGCCCGTTAGTTAGCCTTCCTGATGAGTCCTCCAACGGGATCTGGCCGAAACGTTCTTTTCTTTTCCTTCAGTCTTTCCAGCGTTCACGGCGCCGCCAAAGTAAAATAAAAATACATGTGCCATAAACGCATACTTAACAATTTACGAATTGGTTCTCCATGTGTTTTGAAACGAAGTTCGTTCGTCTCTGTTAGAATGATTAGAATGATTTCAGTTTTCACACGAGGCAAGTGGCCCGTTCAAGCGCGTCCGACAAAGGCCGACAGTTTCTATTAATTCGCCGAAGATCTATTGCAAATTCAGTGGAAACAGGGATGTGGTAATAAATAATCTTCACTCGTTTATGGTACGAAATATGCACAGCCGTAATCATCCCCGTTACTTTAGGCACGTACAGACGACGGCGTTGCCATAAATCGCGGATTCTCGACGAGACCCATAGGCTGCGTAGAATTGTTGAAAAAAAACTCGCGGACGATGGAATTTGCAAACGTTTCCAAACAAAGAATTGGTCGCGACGCTCTCGCGCAGATATCGGACGTTTGACGAAACGATATCGCAGCCGCGCCGCCGCCCAGGGTTCGCGAGTTTCGAAGATGGGGCCCGAGATCGCTCGGAGCCATAAGCGACTTACGGAGCGTAACCAACTGACGCGAGTTTAAGCGCGGGACGGGCAATAAACACGCGGAAAGATAAATGGTCCGTTGGGTCCACCGAGGCGCTCTCGGGGAAAGTGTATCGTTTCTACTAGATCTTTCGGCTCGCACGGTCCCGGAGTAAATTGTGCAGTTTTATCGGGCTGCTGCAGTTATAAATACCGATGAGGCACGAAACCCGATCTCCTTCGACTTTTCATCTTTAAATCCGTAACGGTAAAACTACGATTTAACCTCCGCTTTGACGTTTCGGAAATAGGTTGCAATCCAGCCGGTTCTTCCGTCGCTGCTTCGCTTTTCGAATTTCGACCGATTCCGATCCACGGAAATCATTATTTCAACCGCGTTTTATCATTTTACGGAAACTCAATTTCTGCTCTATAATGCGCTAAAAATTTGGCCAACACCGTTTGTGGGATTTTAACTCAACGCATTACTGTCCGGATGACTAAAAATGGTCATTTTCTTGACTGCTCGTGAAATGCCGGATGACCAAGAACGGTCATTTTCTTGATTGTCTCCAGTAAACACAATAAACGAATTAGAACTGCTTACATCTCCGAACATTGTAATGTACTTTTTTACAGAGGCGCATGCCTTATATTTTCAAATGAAGCAACATATCTTATAATCTAATTCAACTGTCTGATATTTTATAAGTTATCAATTTTTGTAAAATCATGCGACAACCTTAAAATATGTCGGCTACACGCGCAAGTTTTCGAACGAACAGTCCGGACCGTGTCGTGTTAACAAACAAAAAAGAAATATATTTGTTGGTCGACCGAGGACTGTTCCCATTCTGCGGCCGTTTCCGTCGGGTTTTCCAAAGCGGCCGCACTCGAACGTTCTTCGAGCAAGTTAATCTTCGGCGATTTGTCTCCTGCGACGAGAAACACATGGCGATGGTGATCTCCGAAAACGTATCGCTGCATATGTATCTCGCGTATCTCCTGTTACTCTACGCATATCGTCTTGCAGCAATTACGATAATGTATAGTTTATTACTCTGGACTGAAGACGCTGGAACGTAACATTTATAATAATATCGTTTAACGTACATTTTAACTTTTTTTAACCGAATGGATAACGCATTCGGAGATGCGGTGACCCTTAACAAATTTTGTGCGGTTCGCAGACCGAGCTTCGCTCGCACGTCTAACGTCGAGGATCAGTGAGTTTTGACAAAATCCGCTTTCTAAAGAACATTTAATATTTTCACATGTGACAATGATTTTGGTAACAAGCATACGAGGTGTCCCGTAATTATGTTAACGCACCGAAAGAGCAGATTTCTCAGGTCATTTGAAGTAACTTTTCCCTTAGCGAAAATGCGATCCGCGGCTTTGTTTACGAGTGATTAACGAAAAATATTGACGCGACGCGACCCAGCCAACTAACGCACGAAGCCCAGTTCCACTCATTGGCTCGGCCGTCACGAGTCGTCGCCCGATCTCACCTCTCATTGGTCACTGTTTTTCGTCAATAACTCGTAAACAAAGCCGCGGATTGCATTTTCGCTAAGGGAAAAGTTACTTCAAATGACCTCAGGAATCATCTTTTCCCGTGTGTCAACACAATTATGGGACACCCTGTATAACTATAGGATTTCACAGAGGGAATCTTTCAAACGTATAACGAAATTAAAAAGATATTAATACCTCTCTCTCTCTCTCTCTCATGCATATTTTGTTAATTAGCCGTTCGACGATGAACAATCATGGTTGAGGTTGGAAATTTTCTGTTCCAGATGCCACAGACAGTGCCCTCCGCAGCCGGCTACTCGCCGTCGTTCGACTACAGCACGTTCCAGTTCGATCTGTCCCTCCTCTCGGACGATTATGTCGCGACAAGCGCGCAGAACGCGTTGAAACCAGCCCAAATCAAACAGGAAGCAGAATCGCCGCGTCCCGGCTCACCCATCGCCACGTACTCGAGCCCGCCGTATCCAGGCGCCGGTAGCGAACTACCGCTGTCCCCCAATTACTCTCGCGACGGCTCGCCAGGGTACCCGACCAGCCCCTACTACGTGCCCAGGAGCCCCCAAAGCGCACAGTTCTATCCGACCAGCCCGGAACCGTCCGCGAAACGACCGGTCAAGAGAGAAAAAAGTCTCGATCTGCTGGCCATCCTGCAGGAGTCCAGGTAATGCGTTCTCTTCGTCGAAACAGCTTGTTCAAAACTCTCGTACCATCTTCGGGTCGAAGGGAAAACTCGGGCTCCTACAGGTTCCTGCAATTTCTAGTCGACGTAGTAGAGGCGTTCGCGATCGTCGGGCCGTAGATTTTTATATAGAAAATTTAAAACTCCCTCCGCCAAAACCCTTTGTCGTGCATCAACGAGTCTGACTCGCGACGGAGATTTCGAGTAACAGCATTCGTACCGTTCACACATTTTGTGCGGTGCCACTGATCGAGATTTACTTACACGGTCAGCGGGAGAAAACCAGTGATGTGGTCGAAAAAATTCACTTTTTAGAAGATATTTCATGTTTGCAAAGCTTGTGTATCAGAACAGAACAAAAGTCCTAGCATGTAAAATAAAGATTTTAAAATTGGAATATTTTCGAAACTGGCAATAAAATTTTGTTCACAGGTATATAACGAGAATTTTTAGGATTTCGAAGAGGTTTCTTTCAAATGTATAAACAAATTTATAAAAGTAAATTTTTAGAAAGGTAATTAACACCTGTTCCGCATGTTAAGTATTATCGATCGAGATAGCCGTTCGTTCGATCGTTGAATAAAACTGAAAGTACGACATTTAATCGTGTAGTTAATTTAGAGGACATAGTGTCGTAGGTCATTAAATTAGTCTCGGTATGCACTACAATGTTGTACCATAAACGATAGGTGTTAACCCTTTGTGCTCGACCGGGTGACTCCGACTCACCACTTAAAATTGTTACATAACATTTCAAAATAATTTTAACGTTATTAAATTTGTTCGTGTTTTAGAAACTGTTAAAAATGCAGTTATCGCACAAATCGTGAAAGTGAATAAGTTACTTTACCGTAATGAAAAGTGGTGATTTTTTAATGCTTATACGAAATTATTTATACTGAGAAAAATATCAGTATCCTGAGATAACAAATACAAATAAATCTTCTCGAAAGTTAGCATCCATATTTTTAAACGTGTTAAAACGCAAACCCTTAAATATATCGACTTAAAAACAAAGTGACTTATGCCACTTTCAAAATAAACGGCTCATATATGAAGTGCACCTAAGTTGTACAAAATGAAGGTACTGTCAGTCAGGAAAATTATATTGAATTCAGAGTTAAAATGGCATCGAGTGCAAAGTGTTAATACGCAAGAACTGATTTCAGTTTATGGGAGAGGCGCATTTCGATCATTTCCGTAATTTAGAAAGCGTTCGATCATAAAAGTGGGTAGACCGAAGAAAGATAATGAAATGAATCGTAACAGACAAAGGAAACGATGACAATATTATCGTGAGAAACAACATACTGCAACGGATAGCAATAATAATTTCGTACCACAAAATTCTGGTGATGTACAAAGACCTCAGTTACAATGCAATTAATTAATGTTAAAATCAAGACAACTCGAACAAAATTGAGGCTTCCAAGTTGAAATTTTTACTATGATTTGTGTACATGATATTGAAGAAAAATGTACTTGGATTATGCAATTCGATAATTTTTTCACAACAAAATTTTGTTTGTTACTCAAAAATAGAAGTTGAAAAATTAATTTTTACACAATTCGATTCTGTGCAAGAAATACTATAGAAACATAGCTTTTCATAATTTTATTTGGAAAATTACTAGTATATATATTTGATTTTCAGCTGGATCCCCCCACCCGCCCCCCTAATTGAGACAGCTATTTATTTCGCTGCTTATTTAGCTGCTAAAACTCGCTGGTCCCGACGCGACGCGACGTGTCTCAAATAACCGGAATCCGCTGTATAAAAATCGTCGATAGTTCAGAGTTCAGATGATCGTAGAAACGCGTCGAGTAATTAGCTCTTCGATGATAATGGCAAAAGATGACCGCCTCTTCTCTTAATTGTTTCGAGGGGATAGTGGTAACGTAACAGTTTTCGTTTTACCGTTTTACATTCGATCTCCTCGTTTCCGCTGCAAATGCATCGAGTTCGCGTCCGCGTTCCAACGATCGACTGCGACGCGACGAACGGGGAAACTATTAGCGAAAATGATCGTAAATTTCGTAAACGCTTGAGAAACACGAAGAGTTAAGAAACGAGAGTTTATTATTTTGTTTTCTATACCACGTAACAGCAAAATTATAACAAACCAATTATTGTCTAGTATTCTAGACAATATAGACCCTCTGTCATCTAAAAAAAAATAAAAAAAATAAAAAAAAAAATTCATACCGTTTGGTCCACTTCGAAAAAAGCTGTTGCGTTTTCAAAGGTGTCCGGATACCAATGGGACTAACTGTACGGTAGATATGCGAGACAGCGGGATCGAAATATCCAATGATGACCAGCCCACGTGGTTCTAATTACAGGCTCTTGGCGGAGAGTCTGGGCTACCGAGAGGACTCGACGGACTGCACGGTGCCGTGCACACCTCCCCGAACGGAAGAGGACATCTACAACAGCCTTGACGCGGACTTCTTCGCGAAGAAGGAAGATGCCGTGGTGCAGGGTCATCCGTTGCTGAAGGAAATCCTGTTCAAGGAGGAGCCGCGCGGCTGCGACACCAGCAACCGCAACAACCGCAACAGCCGCGGCAACCGCGGCGACAACGGCGACAACGGTAGCTCCTCCGGGCCGGCGTCCTCCTCGTCGACGGCCTGCTCGTCGCCGGACCCGATCGACCTCGAGACGAACGGCTCCTCCTTGAGGAGTTTGCTCTTCAAGGGTGCCAGAAAGGACTTCGCGGAAGTCGCCAGGGCGAACGCGTTGAAATTGGAGAGAGCCCAGGACGACGAGATCGGGAATCCGTTGCAGAAGGAGGAGGAGCTCTTCAAGGACAGGCAGAAGAGCGACCACCAGTTGCTCCGGGAGGTCTTGAGGGACACCAGCTTCCAGAAGAAGTACAACCTGAGACCTGTCGACCTGGGGAACGTCGGCACCGGGTTCGTCGAGGACATGGAACCCGGCGAGTGCGTAGGAGACCTCACCAGGGAGCAAATCGAGCCTGTCCTGAGCCTGGCCATACAACAGCTGCAGAAGGACTTTGACAACACCTGCGTGGCGCTCGGAATTCATCCAGGTGAGCCTCTTCGGCTTCGATCCTTGGCTCTGTGTTCTCGTTCAACTTGCTCGTATGGTCTCGCGAGAGTGGGGGCCGTTCAAAGAATTCAGTGACGAGTTGTTATAACTCTTGTACCATTTGAGATATCGCAATGAAATTATCACTAGAAATAAGCAAGAAATAGTAACTTCCAGCTGCCGACGATGAAATGCATTTGTTCAACAATAAATTCCAATCAATTTTCGTTGCTATTTCTGTTTTAACACGTTGACTGCCGCGTCACCCGTATTCGGGTGACAGCAAAAGTTCTCGTCAGGCCACGTCACCCGTAATTCGGGTGACGCTGATTTGACTACTTACAAAGGATTTCCGAAAATATTTCGACAAATATTCTACAGGGGGTAATGGAACTATTGAATTCTTATAAAAATGGTTTATTAAAAAAGTTATTCGCAGTGTATAACATTAAAACATTCTCTGCAAAGTTGAGGTTGATCAGGACAGCTTGGACATAAAGTTGTTTGTTTTTTCAGATATGCTCGTGCCTCTGATCGGTCCATTTCGTATCTTTTATTTGAACTGTAGCTTCCTCGGTATCATCAACATTTCTTTCTTCTTCCATGACTAATTCTCGTAAAATCTCGTCAATAGTATCTTCATAACATTCATTATCGCTAAGATTATATTTATCAGTATCCAAATCAGAATCTGACGATGTAATTTTATTTATGCTTCTCCTTCCGGGCAATCCGATCTCTTTTCATTATTGAAAAAAATAAGGGCAGAGATTTTAAGTTATACCATTCGGTACTC